TATATTTCATTTTGTTCTTGCAATCATATATTTAATAAATTAATTGATTTATCTTATCGGCCAAAAATATTTGTCACCACGTGCATTGCACGTGCACTTTACTAGTATAATTGAAGAGTCTTGAAGATTGACGGAGAGGTTTTTTATTTATATAATGGCTGATTCATGTTCACATATAACTTTCTGTTTGGTTCACAAATATATTTTGCGATCCTCCCTTGAAAAACCTATAAGGAATCGGTTTTTTCTAGCACAATTCGCCATAACGGCAGCTGAGTGCACCAGCATATCGCGTGAGCCTGCCGGCGTATGAACCGGGCCTGAACTTGATGAAGTTTTTCTTAGTGAAGGGAGTTTCTGCATGTACAACCTGTGGCCCCGACTCCGTGAAGTAGGCTCCATTCGAAAACTTGTCGCCCTCGGACCTCCACTGCCATTTACTCCACACGTCCTCAGTCGCAAAGTTCCTCTTCGTCACCTGAACAAAAACAAAAGAAACAAAATGAAGTGATTTGAATTGTTTTTAGTATAGAAAAAGTTGTACATATGAATTATTTATTACCTCCTTTGTATTTGGGTCGCCCGAAGCCTTGAACCGGTTGCCCTGGCTGATGATAGTCGGGTGCGCACTTCCGCCGATGGCATACATTTTCCACTTGGAATAATCATTGTTGATGATATGGACAAAGCCCCACCGGCACCTTGGCATCCTTTGGACCAAACCTTTCCCGAATCGATTGAATGCAACCGTCACTTGCATTATCGAATCTTTCGTGTCGCGATCATGCGCCCCCAACAGCATCACCTAATCATATATTCAATTTTCATTTTTTTTTTTTCATATATACATATAATATTTGAAAAAAGAAAAATGTGTTTGTGGACTTACAGAATCGTGGTTGTTGAATTTGCAGTTGGAAATGGTGACAGCTGTCGAGCCTTCGATCACGTCAATCAGCCCATCCGTACCCTTAGACAACGAGACATGGTCGATCCATATATCGCTGGAGCTGAAAACCGAGATCCCGTCGCCATCGCTGACCGTGCGGAGGCCCACATGGTCGACCGCGTCCCTAATCATTCCCCCGGAAGTGGGCACAATATCGTGAATCCACACATTATGAACGATGGCGTTGCGCACGAACTGCAGGGTGATGCCCGCGCCGTAGGCGATGTGGACGTGGGCTCCACGCCCGTCGACCGTCTTGTGGCTGGAGAATATGAGCTCCTGTTTCAGCCTAATCACCATGCTGTGGGAGAATACGATCCAGAGGGGTCCGGGCTGGATGGCCGCGTGGCGGAGGGTCCCAGGCCGCGGCCGCTCCACGTCATCGTCGGAAGAGTCGGTGACGACGTAGTACGGGCCGTCGCGGCCTCCGGTGGTGCGATGTCCGAAGCCGCGGGCGCAGTCGGCGAGACGTTTGCGGTTGCGGGCCCAGTTGGGGTCGCACCGCCAGCAGCGGTCGATGGGGTTGGTGGCCTTGCACTCGGTCTGCGTCTGCACGAGCTGCCGCCTCGTGATGTTCTTCTCGCTTATTAGGGTCCTGCGCCGTGTTTTGGACCGTTAGATGGTATATCATTTACAAGATACGCTAACCATAGGGTGGGTTTAATGGTTTAAGCCCCATTTCTGCCTTTCTTCATATATATACTTGGTATTTCCCCTGGAATTATGAAAGCGAAAAAATGAAAAAACACAAAAGAAGGGGGAACGGGACTAACTCGCCAACTTGCTTGCTCAATTCATCGGCGACTTTCTCCGGGTGGGGATCGAACGCCTTGAGGGACTCCTTATACGATTCCTCTGCCTTCTTCAGCAAATACTCGTCGTATTCTGCGATTGCAGCACGCGATTTCGGAACGAATGAAGCAAATGAGAGGACAGAAAGTAGGAGGAGAATTGAGACTATTCTGTTGTTGCAAGATAATACTGGCATGATTCCTGGATTCTTTCTTTATTTTTCAGTTCTTTTTTATGTACAAATGTCTCTCAATGGGTCACCTGGGAAAATTTACAAGGGATTTTTGTTTAATCAAAATGATATATATCTTCTCACCCAAAAATAATTTGGACAAATTTTTGGCAAAGGCAAGAAGTCTGAAATGTTGGGAAAAAGCAGGAATATGGAAACAGATATGAATGCATAGGGGAAAAGGATTTGAAGTTGGGTTGATGAAGATGAGACAGAGAAAAAAGGGGAGCCAATAATCTAATGAGAGGTTGGAAAATAATTGCAGATTTGCCTATTTTTAAGTAAAATAAGCTCCATTTTTTTCCCAATAATTTTAGAGAAATACTATTGTCCGTTTCGGAACCATCCCGTCGGGTGTTTGAACCATCCCGTCGGGTGTTTTAACCGTTAGATCATCTATATCTTATACTAACCAACAATTAAAACTTCCAACAGGATGGTTCCGTAACAGGACCGTAGCATTCCCCTTAATTTTAATGTAATGAAACGAGAACTATGGTTCTTAATGTTACAAAAGCAAATGCAGAAGCAATACAAGAACATAGAACTTGGGTAACAACAATGCTATGCCAAGACTTTCACCTTAATAAAGTTTTATATCAAGTCATCATCACAAACACTGTAGAAAAGGGAAAGGCCAGTACTGATTTGTAATGCGGACTTTAAGCAATAAGTGAACTCTATCGACGCAAAATACATCATGAATCTGCTTCAACAATGCCATATGAGCACAGGGGAAATCAATCGACGTGCAACAATATCAACATTTATAGGCGAACAAACGGTACATATTCAGCGAAGATGAAGAAATTTTACAAGGCTGCTAGGAAATTTCGAACCGAAAGAAAAGTCGCGCATCTCTAGCTATTTTTCATCATTAACTGTCAATGATCGGTGGATTCGTAAGAAGCGCATGCTCAGAACCCTAAAATATATCGAGTCAGTTAACTACAGCCACAAAAGAAACAAAAGAAAAATTAATGAAATCGTGCTTGAAAACATTCCGAACAATTTATTCCACTCACATTTAAACCCAATTCGGAAAATTAAGGCATTATGTCCATATACTATTCTCTCTTCAAGAATGAGACATGAATACCTCCAGTAAAGATAAGATACATAAATTAAGATTTATTGCAACACATTCCCGTCAAACGAACAGCAAATACACACACTATAGAATTCCAACACCTTGCCAATTACTCGAACCCCACCAACATTTGCAAAACATCTTGTGTACAACCAGAAACCCAATTTCGGTGGCCCCACAAAAAGCTAAAAAACACATCAAAATCCAAAACACAAAATTACCAAGGTGGATTGGAGCCTTCTCTCACCGAAGGCGACCTGGAACCCATGCTCCCATCCCGTCCCAACCTAGACATACTCCTCCCACTCTTAGGCGTACCCAGCCCGGGGCTCCCACTCCTGTAACTTGCTCTCAAGGACTCATCAATCGACTGTGAAGACTTTGCAATAGCCTTCCTCATAAACTTCTGAGCCGCGGGCGAAAGCGTCCTTTTCCCAGGACTCGCGCTTCCTCCTCTAACAGGGGATGGCAATGGAGGCTTCTGGAACATTCTCGACCTCTCCCTGAGCTTCCTGGCAGCCTCCCGGGACAAAGAATGTGCCTTCACATCCCTTGAAGGTGGCATCGGGATTTTGAACTGGGGCCCATCCCCACTGCCCCCAATATCAATAGGTGTATCCTCCGGCTCTAGCCTCAAAGGGGTTCCCTCAATTTCACCCCACGTTATGAACGGGGACTCGTCTGCCCCAGGTGCAGGGGATGGCGTCTTCACAAAGCTATATCCATTGTCAGCTTTCTTCTCAGACTCGACATAGAATTTGTTGGGAGTTTTCCTCAGATCATCCAGGTCGTATTTTTTTGTCTTGTCACCATCTCGACTGGATATATGAACAGGAGTGGCCCCCACAACCGGCGAGTAGAGCACCGCAATAGTGTCGTCATCCTTTGGTGCATCAGTATCCGCTGATTTTCCATGGAATCTCGTGTTTGATTGGCTGATCTCTTTGGTCATTGCTTTCAGCCTCAGGGCTCTTTCCTCCTCAGTCAAGGGCGCCTCACCATTATCGGCCGGGTGATACATCAGCAAGTTCTTGGGAGTGTATTTCCAGCCATCTAATGTGCTCACCGGCTGATCTGATGTCCCGTAGCCATCAGTAGCATTTTTCTCCCGTTTCTTGCCGTTCTCAATCAGGTTACTCCCAGAATTTTCATGAGATGATCCGTCTTCTAACAAGTACCCGTACTTTTCCTTCCTTTTTCGATTCACTTTCTCCAGAATCTTCGAGAAGCTCTCATTGTCCTCGCTCGTGTACTTTCTGAAAAACTCATCCAGGGACAAGGACACGTCTACCTGCTCCTTTCCTCCATCACCGTCTACATCGAGCTCGTCTCCAATAAGATTCTCCTTCTGCTCGTTGTATAAGGATGGCGTGACAGAGGTATTCCGTAGGAAAGACGAACCTGGGGACACTGTGGCGTGGCGGCTGGAATCGACGGCAGAGGTGGAGCCTCCGACTTTCCTCAGGCGACGTCGTTCGAGGATCTTGAGCTGCGCGTCTCGAATGAGCACCGGGTCGTGGGTTCGGACGGCCTGCAGCCAGTCGAGGCGATCTCGGAGCTTGGGGATGTCCGGGAAGAAATCCCGCTCGATGATTTTCTCGATGGCGGCGACATAGGCGTCCTCGTCTAGGACGGTGGGGCTACGGCGGCGCTTTCGGGTGGCGGGATCGGGGTTGGAGGCTGAGAGCACGGCAGAGTTAGGGTTAGGGTTCGGATCAGAGGAACGGGAGGGAGAAGGTGAAGGGGTGGAGAGATGACGGGGTGAGTGGCCTGGGGATAGCAACATGATTGATTATCTCGGGGGAGATGATTGAGAGTGAAATGGAGACGCAGAGATTTGGGGATTAGGGTTTGTGATTTTGAGAAAATTGGGATCTCGTATTTTAGCAGGAAAGAGGGAGGGCCAAACCAAGTATTAGGCTCGGGCTTTGGTACACATAAATAGAAGGCCCGTATTTGGTTCCTTCTTAGTTCGGGGCATATATTTTTGGACGAATTTCTTTTTACATCCTAATATATAGGCATTTAAAAAAAAAATTGTTTCATCAAAAATCATTTTTTTCACCCCCAAAATTCACGAAATATTATATGATATAAAAATAGCATATTCAAATGTAACGCATAATTAACAATTATGCGAGATATTAGTCGCATATATAGCAATAGATATTCAAATTGGACGTGTTGTTAAATTTATGTGAAATACTTCTGCATATGTTGTAATCGCATATCAAAATTCATCGCATAATTTTCGGTATGAAAATTATTTTGCATATATAGTTATCACATATTCAAAACTGATAAGCGCATATTTTACAATTATGCGACAATTTTCTCATACTTTACGAATTACATACCCAAAATCACGTCATAACATACCATATGCGAGAAAATTTTGCATATTCAGTTATCGCAAATCCAAATCGAACGTTGCATATTTTATGTTATGCGACGTATTTTCGCATAGTTTACGACTCGCATATCCAAATTCACTGAATAATTTATCATATGCGATAACTTCCGCATATTCTATTATCGCATACCCAAATCGAACTTCGCGTATTTTATGTTATGCGACGTATTTTCGCATAGTTTACGACTCGCATATCCAAATTCACCACATAATTTACCATATGCGGTGTCTTTTTGTATATTCTTTTATTGCTTATCCAAATCAATATCACCGAAAATGTACTGGGAAGCTTGTCAGAAAGTTTCCGACTGGTCGACCTAGCTAGCGTCTGATGGACCCATGACCCAGCACCGAGCCTAGCCGATGCGCGCCTAGGGTGGCCCATATCCCATAGCCCCTTCCATGTGCGTCGTAGCCCGCGTGCCTAGGCCTCACCCGCAGCCCCACGGACAATCCTCGTCGACGCTCGCACACGGCCTCCCAATATCACCCACACACGCACGCGCGACGCTTGCATGCCCCAACAAGACAACTCGTAGATCAGGAGTGCTCGAGTAGTCACCCAGCGCCCCAGTGCACTTGAACCAAGCGAGACAGCCCGCAACACGCTTATACCACCATCGCCCAGCGAGATAACCCGCCAGGCGCGAGTCCCGTGCGTACCCCAGCCAACAAGCCCGCCCACTCGCTAGGGCTCGTGTAGGCCTACGACCAACCAATACGTCCAGAGCTTGCGAGTGTTGTCATCCATGTCATCCGCCCCGTGAACCAGTTCACAACTCGCAAGTGTGCCTCACTATATGTATGCTTTTAAAGTGTGTATTTGTTAGAATTATAAATAGATTTAATCCTTTGTATTTTGAAATTAATTCCTCATTTGCTAACTTATTTTTTAGCTCTCTCTCTCTCTCTCTCTCTCTCTCTCTCTCTCTCTCTCTCTCTCTTTCTCTCTCTCTATCTATTTTTTTTTCTGTTCCAAGACCTAATTTTTATTGTAACATTTCTTCATCAATAATGCAGCTTTCTGGTTTATTTCTACTCATGGATGCTATTACAGACTTGGAGACTAAGTTTAAGGTTCAAAATCTTTTAAGTTTTTTGTATCTTTGCTCATTGAATTTTTTAGGGTAAAGGTAAAAATTTACATGAGTAGAATAAACTATTATCCTCGTAAATTAGAGAATATGTGACTTAGTTGTTGATTAAGTGAACAGTAATTAAACTGAGAGTTCGATTAGTTAATACGAGTAACGATTGCTTAATTATATATTTTCAAAACTTAATTTGAGTGTTTTCTTTTCACCTAGGGTTTTAAAGTTCATGTCATTTTTTTCTTTATTTCTCTTTTTTTATTGCAAATTGTCCGACTTTCTTTGCGTTAAAGTTTTAATCTTACTTTCAATTAAATCAACCACCAACTTGCGAGTAGAATGTTTAAGAACATTTATTTTTGTTTTTGTGAATCAATCATTGTTTAAATCTAGTTTCGAACTGCCTTATTCGAGAGACATGACCTGAGTTCGGGATTTATCTCGTCCTCGGCTAAAAACTACCAAATATTAGCCGGTTTTCATTAATATAAATAAAATTTTATTATCCACATTTTTTTCTTATCATAGAACAAAGATTGGGTTTGCTTATTTTTATTACTAATATTATACTTTTAGCTAATTAATTGTATTCTAAATTTTGTCATCATAGTACGTTTTGTTATTTTTTTTAAATGCAATAGAAATTACTCTCCTTTTAAATGGAATGAGAAGATTATTATATAGAAATTTGAGTTTATTGTTTTATGAATGCAGTTAACAAAACTTATATTAGCAAATCTATCTATTAATATATAAAGAGAAAACGATATTATTTGAAATAGTAACTAAAAATAAGTAAAAAATATTTGGTTTCCCGCCTAAAAAAATTGATTTACTAAATTGGGTAACTTTTTTGACCAAAAATTGAAAAACCCCGTCTAAATTAATGTACAAAATCATTTTGATCAAATATTGTGGCTATTACCTTTATTAGTTGCATGGTTTAAAATTGTTTTTAATAAATTTAAAAATAAAAATAAAAAAAAAATATTTAAAATTTAAAAAAAATAAAATTATTCATAGGTCAATATTAACTTGGACGTAAACGAAATAGTCAATTATTTATAGTTTAATAAATTATTCAACTACTTAATTTTTTTATTTGAATAGTTTTCACAAAAATAAATTATTTTAAATAAGAAACAATATAAATATTATGTTCATACTTATTACTCACATAAGTTGTTAAATATACGATAGAATTTTACCAAAATAAATATTTTATGGAATCACATTATAGTTAAATCGAATTTCTGAATACAAAATTTGAAATGACACTTATTCTGAAACGAATATAATGCAATATATTATCGATTATGTACAACGCACGAGTCGTTTAATAATTTTAAATAGACTTTTTTATATAATTTTGCACAATTTAAACTTTATATAACATTTTCAATAAATTAATATAGGTAATTTATATTACATATTGATTCAATATTTGTAATTTATAAATATTATTTAATAAAACTTTTTAATTTGTAAATATTAATGAATATCTCTTACCCGTGCACTTCACCAGACTCATTAGTCTGTAAAAAAAAATCGATGAATGGCCTATTAGGCTGTTAGCAGGTAACCATTTCACAGCTCTATACTGTGCCTTTTCATATCTCTCTCTATATATTAATTCAAAACGTGTTGAGCCTAAGTGACAGCTTCTCACGATTCGGATGTTGATATGGCGAAAATCTATGCTCCGTGATGTTGTTTTTATATTACTTTTGCTCTGGAGTTAGGTTTGGTATTAGACATCAATAACATTCATCATATATTGTTTAACTTAATTAACATCCATGTTGTACCGGGATAGGAAAAAGCTACTTGTACAACTTTTTTGTACAACATTCAATGACAACATGATGTGGCACAATGTGGGTGGTTGAGATGCAAATAAATGTATGGTTAAGATTTAAGTTAATGGTACTTTTAACCATGTTGTCAATTAATGTTGTAAACTATAATTGTACATGTAGCATTGTCCACCGGGATATTGTACTAGTTTCCTTGTAAATCAAATCCTGCACAAAATCATCAATCAGATCTACTAAAACTGATTACTAAGATCACAATGCAATTAAATCCTTATTAAGTCACAATAATTGAATTTGTCACATTTTTTTGGCCCCATGAGGCTTTTAATAGTGAAAACATTATATAGACTCAATCAAATAGAAAGAAAAAATATTAAATAAATTGAATAGCTGGCTGTAAATGGAGAATACGAAGAATCAAGTCAATTCTGCAAGCTGTAAAAACAAGAATTCTGCTAATTTTACAAAAAAAAATCTAACAAATATTACATGAATGAACCATAAATATGATTTCACTAGTAAAAATCAATCAGATTATGGATATAAATTAAGGTCAAAAAGCCAAAAATAATTATCTGGATTATATATATTATTTATGTTCAAGAAAACGCGGAGTCTGTACATATATATATTTCACAAAGACTATCATTAATTTTGTATTATTGTATAAGAATCATAATTTTTTTTTTATTTTGAAAAAAAAAAGATAAAAAAAATGATAGCACTCTTTTCATCCAAAATGTCCATCTTGCTATTTCTTTGTACTGTTTCTCTGATTCATTCCAGTTACAGTTCACATGAAGACAGAAAGGCAAGTAGTAACAATTTTATTATTATTATTATTATTATTATTATTATTATTATTATTATTATTATTATTATTATTATTATTATTATTATTTATTTAATTTTTTTTAAATCCTCCATGAGCATCCTTGATCCTGCTAAATTACTCTCTCTCTACCTCTCTGTAATTTTTTGTTTGGAAGCAGGTTTACATAGTGTACATGGGAACTTCTGCTCAAACTCATGAGTTAGATTCCTCATTTCATTTCAAGATGCTTCAAACAGTAGTTAACACCGGGTAATCACATATCCGGAGATTATATGGTCCCGTTACTGAACCATTCCGTCGAGGTTTGTACCGTTAGATCAACTATCCACGACGGTTGCATGATGATCTAACGGTTACAACTTCCTACGAAATGGTTCCGTAACGGGACTGTAGAATTTCCCTTAAATATCATTACCTATTAATCATAGTTAAAAAAAAATAATAATAATTTGATCATTTCATTTTATACATTTAATTTTTATCTGAAACAAGATTTCTGAAGCAATCACTGGTGAGAAGTTACACGAGAAGTTTCAACGGATTCGCAGCCTACCTCACTTCTCAAGAGCGCGATCAGTTGGCTAGTAAATCTCCCTTCTAGCTTCCTTAAACAATTTTATATATCTGATCATATGAAAAATTGCAAAAAAAACTAGTTTATATGATAAAAACGACAAAAAAAAATAGTTTATATGATAAAAACGTTCGATAAAATTAACTGATAAGCTAACTGAAATAAAAATTTCAACGAACATCTTTGAAAAGTTACCTAAAGGCTTATGAGATAAGATAGCTTATTTAGTTATCAAAGCCTGAAACTGACAAACTGGCGGCGTTTAACTTAAGGTAATGAGCAAGTCCTATCAATATTCCCTAGCATAACCTATCATCTTCACACCACAAGATCTTGGGATTTCATGGGATTCCCGGAAAACATCGGTCGGAACCCGACCGTCGAGAGCGACACGATCGTGGGCGTGATCGACAGCGGAATTTGGCCGGAATCCGAGAGCTTCAACGACAACGGCTTTGGCCCTCCTCCCTACAAATGGAAAGGAGCTTGCAATGGCGGAATCAACTTCACGTGCAACAAGTACACACACAAAATTAAAACTCAACACTCTCTTTACACTCTCTAAAAACGATTTAAATAATATTTTTAATCATGCCATGTCAGCAAATTAATTGGCGCTCGCTACTACACGGATAACTCGGCGAGGGACCTGATCGGGCACGGGTCCCACACGGCATCGACCGCGGCAGGCAACCGCGTCCCGGGGACCAGCTTCTACGGCATCGCGGCCGGGACCGCGAGGGGGGGCGTCCCGTCTGCCCGCGTGGCGGCCTACAAGGCGTGCAGCCAGGACGAGTGCGAGACGGCTGCCTTGCTGGCGGCGTTTGACGACGCGATTGCCGATGGGGTGGACCTAATCTCCATCTCCATCGGGGGTGCCCCGATGGATCTCGAGGACGATGCAGGGATATCACTTGGGGCCCTCCATGCCTTCGAGAGGGGCATTTTGGTCGTTCAGTCGGCAGGGAACAAAGGGACCAAAGGGACTGTTGCGAGCGTGATGCCGTGGATTTTCACGGCAGCAGCAGCCACCACCGACAGGGGGATCGTCACGAGAGTCGCTCTCGGAGATGGGAACACATTTACGGTATCTCTATTTTCTCTTTACGTGACCCAAAATCAGCTTTATTTGCTTTTCGTTGTGTGATAATCGTGTGTGATGCAGGGGAAGGCGGTGAGCTCGACTCCCATGGGGAGTACGACGGGCGTGCCGGTGGAGTTTGGGAAAAATGTTTCGGGAGCATGTGACGAGTATGCCCTCTGGTAAATTTGAATTCCCGTTTTTCATGTTTTAAGAAACTTTTTTATCTAGAGGATATTTGTGTTGACAATGGGATATTTTGAGGCTATTTTCTTTACCGCCTTTCAGGAGATGTGACTCGCAATGTATGCAACCGAGTGTAGTGAAGGGAAAGGTTGTGCTGTGCAACGACTATTATGGCGTGAGAAGAGCATTTACGGCCGGAGCTCTTGGTGTGGTTGGCACACTCGAATCTTTTCCGATAAAGTTACCTTTCCCCATGGATTTTTCCCAGGTCAGCCCACTCGCCTCGTCCCACCTCAACAACCATGACTTCCAGCATGTCCAGACCTACTTCGAGTCCACAAAGTATATAATTGTCTTCCTACTTTCGGACATTACATCGTTTGATTACATTTTTCGTGAATGAGAAATGCTTCTACTGACTGAATCAGTAACCTGTTACTACAGATCTCCAACATTGGACATATTGAAGAGTGACTCTATCCGGAACGTCGATGCCCCTAAGGTGGCTGGATTCTCTTCGAGAGGTCCGAATGTTATCCTGCCCGATGTTTTGAAGGTAAACTGTATTCTAGTTATTTTCTTTACTGAAAAAAAAAAATCTCCTTTAGAGAAACAAGATTAGTTTTCGGCTCGATCTTTAGGTTTTGGCTCAATTTGGGATCATAGTAGAACTTCTATTATGCAAGTAACATTCTGATAAAACAGTAAAATATATTACTATTTGCACACAGCCAGACATCACAGCACCTGGTGTAGAAATACTGGCAGCATTTTCACCTTTGGCCTCGCCTTCCGAATACCCTTCAGATAGACGATCCGTAAAATACAGTATAATGTCAGGAACGTCAATGGCATGCCCGCACGTGACCGGTGCAGCTGCTTACGTGAAATCATTTCATCCTGATTGGTCGCCTTCTGCAATCAAATCGGCTCTTATGACAACAGGTACTGTACTCCACTCCAACTCCAATAATGACAACTCAAAGTTTTTTAATGTTCTTATCCTTGTTTCGCATAGCAAGGACGATGGACGCCTCGAAAGATCGACTAGCCGAGTTTTCCTACGGAGCGGGTTACATTGACCCGGTCAAAGCGGTCGACCCGGGCCTGGTGTACGAGACGTTCACGGAGGATTACATCAGCATGTTTTGTGGCTTAGGGTACGACTCCACGAAAGTGAGGAGAATATTTGGCGGGAATGCGTCCTGTCCGCAGGGGCCTCTTCTTAAACCAAAAGACCTCAACTACCCTTCCCTGACCAGCCAGATCAAGACCCGGCGCGGGGACAAGGCCCCGACGTTTGTTATAAAATTCCGAAGGACCGTCACTCATGTGGGGCACGGAAGAGCCAGATACACCGTGACAACGAGTGCGGGCCCAACACATAACATCACGGTGCAGCCGAGCATCCTGAGGTTCCGCAAGCCGGGGCAGAAGAGATCGTTTAACGTGATAATCAGTGGGGTGATTGACAAAGGGATTATGCTGTCGGCCTCGTTGGTATGGTCCGACGGAGTGCGTAAGGTCCGGAGTCCGATCGTCGTGTACCGGAATCATCTTTGATCGGCATGCGTGGTCGTGGCTTGGCCGTGATTTGTGACTTTACTTTCTTAAGGCAATGTTGAATTTCTGTGGATCAAAATCAAAAAACTACACTTCTGGTGGCCTATAACACAACAAAATCAAACCCAACTAGAAATACACAAAAGACAAATACAACAATTTGAGATCTTCAACATACAACAAAGAAACAACAGAAACCAACAACAACAGAGCATAAAAAGAAGAAAGCTTGTAGACAACTGAACCAAAGGACCTAATCTACTCACTTCCCTTAAGACCCAACAACATTCCTTGCAGAGCTGAACTGACAATAGCTCTTTCCGGCTTCCAAACATTTTGAAACATTTTGAAGGTTACGTGTTTTCCAAAGCCACCATAATAACTAAGTAGTGAGATTGATTCGTGCTTCAGAAATATCTATGATCCAATAAAGGCACACACCTCTAGTTATGCTAGTTAGATGACTTAACGGTAACCCAACTATTCCACACCCAAGAAGATCTTTATGTTCTTTGAGCATCAAACACATTCCCATTTGGGAAGTACCTCTCTTTCAAGATTTTATGAGAAGCAGGTTTGGTTTAATAACTAGCCTATAAATTTGTTTAAGGATTAAAGCCTCATTAAAAAGTTTGATGTCTTGGAATCCTAGGCCGCCCATTTCAAAGTTTGTCTTGGAATTCTAACTATCTCGGGAGATTTAGTAGATCTAGAAGATCTTATGTAAATCATCATGTATCAATAAAATTGCGACCTACGATTCTTAAATTTGGTAGGTTTTCTCTTCTACATTCACAAATAGGGATATTCCCTAAAACGAAAAGAAAAACGCATCACAACATATTTAAGTTCAAGAGCCCTAGATATTCTCTCGGTGAGATTAATGTGTTCTTGAAGATTCGAAGAACGATTCAATCATGTTTAACCTCAAGAATGTCGTTTAATCTAAAAACAAGCTGGACTTCGAATTGCGTTAGTAGACTTAAAACCGAGGCAGAGAAGATTCAAGATCGACTTTTTGGCAAAGACCAAGGACTCGTGTTCTTCATGTTCTTAGGATATTACGGCATTTGATCGAAAATCAAGGCATTGGCCTTCGGATTAACGTTTTCAAATCAAATCTACTCAAGGAGAAGATCAAGACGAAGATTGCGCTTCAAGATTAAAAATCGTTTGCGAGAAGAATCAGAGGATAAAATACATATTCTAATCTACAAAATACATTTGATTCGAGAAATTAATGTGTATAATATTTTTAGTGTTTATATATACAATACTTTATAGAAATTTTTCGTGTTTATATATTCAATACAAATTTCTAGCACAGCCAGTGAGACCTCTCTACCTCTATCTCTTCTTCAAAATTTCTCAGATCATCATGACTAGCCGCAATATTGCAATAGTCAAGGTTTCAACAACAAGTTCCTCAAGCTCCAGCCACAGTGTTGTTACAAGAAGCATTGTCAAACAACTGCAAACATCTTCGGAGACAACTCCTTTGCACTATGTGATCAGAAGTTATAAGATACATCTTACCCAGGAACGTGATGACAACTCCACTTCTTCAACTTCTCGTTCATCATCAAGCTCTTCATCAAACTCCAGCATCGTTTTGGTTATGACAACCAATGCTTCAACTTTTACAGTTGCAAACATCTTCCGGGAGGTTTGGATATTATATGTTACATTATTATCATTATTGATATTTTCTTATCTTATCTTACTTGTAGATTTGTTGGTGATAAATGTTGTTGTGGGTAGTAATATATTGTCGGAGTTTGATATTTGAATAACTATAAGAAGGTAAGATATAATACCTTTATGCATTTTATTAATTATTTATTACATTATCATTTGATATAGTGTACTTCATTTATTATATTTTAATTCATTTGATTTATTTATTTATTTATTTTATTTGTTTTTTTTTAATTTATTTTTTAATTTTGCAACAGGACAATGCTAAGAGCAAAAACAGTGAAGGTTGAAAGATGACAAATGACTAGTCTACAATGTTTCTTTTATATATTTTGATCTTTTGGTTGCTAGTAGACTTTGAGAAGTTTGTAATGTTGGTCTATTGGACTCCATTTTATTATTATTGCTATGTGTGAGTGGCCAAGACTTGTTATTTTTATCTATGAAGTATTGAAGTGTGATGTAAACAACTTAATAAACTTGTAGACAAGTTCTCTCTCTCTCTCTCTCTCTCTCTCTCTCTCTCTCTCTCTCTCTCTCTCTCTCTCTCTCTCTCTCTCTCTCTCTTTTTTCTTATGCATTTTAGTTTGTTTTGGTAAAATTACTAAGTAGTATTTATTGCTATTTCCTATTTGTAAATTTTCGAATAACCGATAACTGAACTGAAAAACTCGATAAGTTTTCGGTTTTTAAACAATAATTTTTGTTCGGTAGCCGGTTTTAACCAAATCGTAATTTTAAACCGAATTTTTCGGTCGGTTCAATTCGATTTTGACTGAATGTGCAGCCTTAGATCTATCGAGTTATTCTTATGTGCTATGTCAAGTGATCTAAAGCTTCTCATACCTTGTGAAGCTATATGTGTAATATAATATATATATATATATATATATTATATTATATTTAAATATATATTAAATCAGTAATAATGTTGTCGTATCATCTCAAGATCATAAATATAATTGAGAGAAAAACAAGTTTCTATTACTCACAAGAATAAAAACAAGAGATTTACAAACTCTAAACAAAAAACTTCCAAACACTCCACAACTCTGTCTTGGTTGTGTTTCAACACTCTCAAGGTTGATTGGTCACACTCTTGGATGATTTGAATGAAGCACCCTATTTATAGATACAAGAAAGCACACCATTATTGACAAAAATAGTGTGTAATGAGAGGGTTGGTGATGGCCACCATTGATGAGAATTATTCAAAGGTGTGCTTCAACCATGATGTGCTAATGGTGTTAGTTTGTTGACATGCATGGAACTTTCAATTCTCCCCTTTCCATGCAAGTTCTGAACAAGCATTCCTACTATGTCTCTGCATAGTTTAAGCTTATCCAGTGTAACCACTTTTGTCAACATATCTGATGGATTCTCCTTCGTATTGATCTTCACTAGTTTCAACAGCTGTTGATCAATCTTCTCGCGTATACCGAATATCAATATGCTTTGTGCGGGCATGGTACATAGAGTTCTTGCTTAAGTCAATAGCACTTTGACTATCACAATATACCTTATACTTTTTCTTCTTGATCCCAAGTTCTTGGAGATAGCACTTTAGCCACAACATTTCTTTACCAGCTTCAGCGGCAGCAATATATTCAGCTTCTGTTGTGGATTTTCGATAATCAATATCTCCAGCCATATCAGCATCAGTATATCCTTTCAAGACTGGATCAGCTCTCTCGTAACAAAGACATAACTTAGAAGTACCCTTCAAGTATCTGAAAATCCATTTGACAACCTCCCAATGCTCATTCTCGGGGTTATAAAGAAAACGAGTTACTACACCCACTGCATGAACAATATCTGGACTTGTAAACACCATTGCATACATCAGACTTCCAACTACTGAAATTGTATAGCACTGCAGACATCTCTCGCATCTCTTTCTTGGATGTTGGACATGATCTTTTGGTCAACTTGAAATAATTCGCAAGTGGAATACTCACTGGTTTGGCATCACTCATATTGAATCGTTCAAGTACTCGTTCAATGTACTTTTCTTGAGATAGCCATAACTTGTCGTTCTCTCGGTCTCGAATAATCTGCATCCCAAGAACCTGTTGAGCCTTTCCTAAATCTGTCATATCAAAAGCTTGGAAAGTTCTTTCTTTAGCTGACGTATCTTCTCTGCATTATTCCCAACGATCAACATGTCATCGACGTGCAGTAGAAGAAATATGAAAGCCCCATTTGCGTATCTTTTGATGTAAACACACTCATTTGCAGTAGTCTTCTTGTAACCTTGACTCTCCATCCATGAGTCAAACTTCTTATTCCACTGTCTTGGTGCTTGCTTCAAACCATACAAGCTTTTAGATAGCTTGCACACTAGGTTCTCACTTGAAACCTCAAAACCTTCTGGCTGCTGCATATAGATTTCTTCATTCAAATCTCCGTGAAAAAAAGTTGTCTTCACATCCATCTGTTCAAGCTCTAAATTCATACTTGCTGCCAAGCCAAGTATGACTCGAATTGAGGTCATCTTGACAACTGGTGCAAAGATCTCGTCAAAATCAATCCCTTTCTTCTGCTGAAAGCCTTTGACAACTAATCGAGCTTTGTGTTTCACCACTTGTCCATTTGCATCTTTCTTCAGCTTGAACACCCATTTGTTCTTCAAAGCCTTTTTCCCTTAAGTTTGATTTTTCTGCAAAGAATCTAACTCTTCCTGCATCGCAGCCATCCAATTTTATTTATCCTTATGAGATATGGCTTATTGAAAACTCTCTGGTTCTTCATCTTCTGTCAATAGAAGGTATTCAGATGATGAGTACCTTTTTGATGGTATATGACCCCGTTCAGATCTACGAGTGGGTAGAACCATCTAAGAAGAACTTCCAACATTGGTGTCTGGCAAAATGGGTTGTGGTTCCCCTTGCTCTGGCAAGATGAATTGTTGCTCCCCTTGCTCTTGCAAGATGGGTTGTTGCTCCCCTTGCTCTGCACTCTCTCATGTCTCCTCATCTTCTTCTGGTACATCATCTTCATTGTTTCTCCAGAATAATTCTGGTGCTTCATCTGAAACTTGAGCACCCACATTTGACTTTTGAGACATTGACCTTTTTGATATCTTCTATTGTCAAATTTTCTTGGAACACAACATCCCTACTTCTGATCGCCTTTTTCTTCATCGGATCCCAAAATTTGTATCCAAACTCTTCATCTCCATAACCAATGAAAATGCATGGGATTGACCTCGCATCGAGCTTTTTTCTGAGCTCTTTGGATACATGTGCATATGCTACACAACCAAATACTCTGAGATGTGAGTATGTCGGATCCTTACCAGT